GTGATGTGTGCGAGAGTAGAGGAGGCGTGGAGCTATGGCGAATCGTCGTTTGAGCGCTTGTTCTTTTTGCAAGCACAAAGTTTCGGAAAGTGACTTATTGACTTGTTCCAATTGCTCTAAATTTGCTCACTTCTATTGTTTTGGGATCCAGGCAGCAAACTTCCATAAGTTCAGCAAGTCTTACAAAAAAACTTGGAAATGTGAAGATTGCAAATTAGTGAAAATTGTTAAGAACAACGTAAATTGGACACAGGAACTGGAAGACGACAGAGAACTGGGTGAGTGTGAACAGATTATTATGACTTCACATAATTATAGTAAAAACGTGGATAGAACACCAGATAATCTAACTTTCACTCCAACGTCACCCTTAAGTATAACTACCAAAAATTCTGAAGTAATTTTACAAGAAGTCAAACTTATACACTTTGAGTTGAGTAACATAAAAGAAACAAACAAAGAAATTCAGAAATCGATAGAATTCTTAGCAAACAAGTTTGACAAAATGGAAGAGAGAATTAATATTTTAGAGAGAAACTATGTAACTGTTATAGAAACAATGACAGAACTAAAAGAAGAGAATAAAAGTACAAAGATAGAATTAAATTCTTTAAAAGAAAAATTCTGCATGTTGGAGCAGGATCTAAACAACTCTAGTTTGGAGATTGTTGGCGTGCCGACACTTCAGAATGAGAATTTAACAGAAATAGCATATAAAATTTTTTCGTTTATTGACGATAATTTTAATCAATCAGGTCTATTGAATGTCTATAGAATTAAATCCACTAATAACGAAAGAAATGAATTCAAAACTAAATCGCAACCAATTATAGTGAAATGTGCCAATTCAGTTGTCAAACAAAAAATTATAAATAATATTAAAAAGAAGAAGATAAAAATAACTACAAATGCGTGTCATATTATAAATGAGGAATATAGAATATATATAAATGAACATCTTACTCCATATTATAGAAATATTTTCTATAAAACCAGAATGTTAAAAAAACAAGGAAAAATATTAAACACTTGGACGAATAACGGAAATGTGTATTTAAAAAAGGATACTTCTTCTCCAACAATTCGGATACCAACATTGGACAGTTTAGAGAAAATTTTTCGGAATGATTGAATTATTAACACATACAAAGATAGATGACTTCTCCAAAAAGGGCATATTCGTTTTTTATTGCAACGTAAGAGGCTTAAATAATAAATATTTAGAAATACTTAAAACAACCGAGGAATATAACTGCAACTTTGATGTATTAGCTTTTTGCGAAACTTGGACAAATGATGTAAATCCTCCACCATATATAAAAGACTATCGGCTAGAAAAAATAGAAAGAAAACCTAATCAGCATGGAGGAATTGTAATCGGAATCGTTGCTTTTTTCGAATTATTGTGGAGTGTTTCCGTAGCCCTTGTTGAAACCTGGATGGTTTCGGTGGATGGAGATTTTCTTGCTAACTTTCTTACAGTAAACTGGAGGTATTTTATGATTCCGGCGGAAAAGCCATTGGGGCCGGGTAGACCCCGTGGTGGTATTTTGTTCGTTTTTTGATGAAGTTAAAGGGCATTTCGAGTTATTGGAAATTTATCCCGATTTGATGGTGATTGGCTTATCGCTTTACTCGGTCCTCGAACCTAGAAATATCCTGGTGCCGGTGGTGTATGCTGGCTCGCGGAGACAGCGGGGCTTACGTTTAAACTCGTTTTCTTCTATTTTGAAGTCTTAGTCTTCGTACTACCGTGGAATCGTGATAATGGACGATTTTAACGTCCGTATTGGTGAAGGAATTGATTCGCATTTGAACGTAGCCACTCCTAACATTTTTGATGTCAGACGGTTGAAGGATTTAAAGGCCGACACGGCCGGGAGACAGTTTCCGCGTTGGTTGATTGAACGCGATTTTATTCTCCTTAATGGTCGTACTAAGGGAGATTTCCCAGGTGAGCTAACTTTTTTGTCAAGAGTGGTAGCTCGGTTATAGACTTTATTGTCGTTTCTCAGAATCTGGTTCGTAAGGTTTAATCCCTTCGTGTTGGGTCTCTCTCATCTTCCAGTGGAATTACAGTTGTCGACCGGAAACAGATTTCCTTTGTTGATGGGCTTTGTCTCACCAAGATTCGTTATGTTTGGAATGATTCTAAAGTTCAATTACTTGGTGACGCAGTATCGCAGTTTCGGAATATAAACTTTGATTCTGTGTCCGTTGATGATTTCTATGGTATTATTTTATTCGAACTATGCTCTATAGCGAGAAGACTAAATGTGTTAATTGAAGGTGTTGAACCTTACAGGAGGATTCGCCCCCCTTGGTTTGATAGGTCATGTTACATTCAGAAGCGAGCGAAGAACATTGCCTTGGGCAAATTCCGCAGATCTAATAGTAGGGCTGNTTTCCTTTTCGATGACATATCGGTAATATTAAAAATAAATACTGTATTTAAATCGTGATCAAATTTTCAAGAAATAAACGTTCGTATTGAATTTGGACTACTATTGACCAGCGTTAACAGACTACCTATTGTTTAAAACAAGGGTGGGCAACCTTTTTATAACATGGGCCAGAATAAATTTTACGTTTTTTCCACGGGCCATAGTAGTTAATTGACACCTTGTGACCTGTAAATTTTTAGTTTGCAAATATGAAATAAATAAATAAATAAATAAAAAGAAATTAATTACTACAGTCGACCCCCCCTATAACACTGTTGATTATTCCGTTTTATATGAATTCCTTGTTGTATGAGTCACTTAGATTTTACAAATGCGTGTGCCAAACAGTGAACGGCTCACCTATTTGTAAAATCTAAGTGACTTTAATTATTATGCCTTTTTGTCCTTTTTTTTACACTATTTATAATTTATTGTATACTAGTACATTCTATATATTAACAGGACTTATTATACTGGAATTATGAATGCAGATATTTAGTCTTACAGTTTAAAAATAATGTTCTTTATTAAGTTCACCTGTACAGGTGAACTTAATAAAGAACATCCATAATTCCAGTATAATAAGTCCTGTTAATATATAGAATGTACTAGTATACAAAATAAATTATAAATAGTCTAAGTGACTTTAAACACAATAAAAACAGCACTATGTAGTTGGATACGACAGACATTACATTTTCTAATTGCATAGCTTTTGCATAGATTTTCTTGATGGATGATGCGATGAGATAATAAATAATTTTGAAAAATTCTGTTCTCCCATTTTTTGTTTGAATAAGGAAATGACTCCCTTATTTTTTCCTGTCATTGCTGCGGCAACACCTTCAGAATATAATATTCAATTTAAACTAGACGAATTACAACGAAAAATATTTATTTATAATTTCTTCTAAACATCTCGCGGGCCAGATAGAAACTTTTCGCGGGCCGGGGGTTGCCCACCGTTGGTTTAAAAGGCCCTCTGGTGGCGCGAAAAGACGGATTTTATAAAATAAAAAGCAGTCGAAACTGCATTTTTATGAATAAAAATTTGACGAACTATTTATCGTTTTATGACGAGTAAAATTTTTTCGTCGCGTTCGCGACTTTTAAGTAATGCGTAAACCTTCGAGGCGCGAGGCCCTTCGGACCGGCAGGCATAAGTGGTGACCCACTTCGCCCGTGCCTTACGCCGCCCTCGGTCATAGAAATGATGTAATTTGAATATAAATTTTTTATAAATACGTATGTCAAGTTATACTTTTATTACGACGTAAAATATATTTAAGAGTTTAAGACCACCGTGCCGGATGAGACGTTGTCGAAACAAAGTTATGCATTCCATCACGTACATAAATAGTGTCGTAATTCGCCGAGTGCAAATCAGCAAATTCGTAAAATTTTTGTTTATTTTGAAAAATCCGGATAATCGAGGTTCCACTGTACTTGTATAAATGAAGAGAAAGTAATACGAAAAGCGTACGTCTTTCACGATGGCGGGAATCGAATGCAATATTCTTAGAAAACTTAATTTCTGTCAAATAATAACGACCGTATTTTTCTGCTAATATTCTTATTACTTAAAACGAAAAATAAAGTTTATATTTCTTATAATTAAAAGTTAAATATACAGTTTAACGGGCACCATCCGATTGCGCCATTTTCTTTAACCTAACCATTAAAAAGTAAATTGGAAAATTTAACTCACTTTTTCCAAAATGCTTTTTTCTTCTTTTATATTTTCGTTAATTCTCTTTACTTCTCTCTGTACTTCATTTATCAAATGTATGTATATTTTAATATTATTATTATTATTTTCGGCCATTTCAAATTGCCTTTTAAGTTCGGCCTCTTGTATTTTTAAGTCGTTTTTAAATTTTTCGAACAGCAATTTTCTCTGTTTTAGCTTAATTTTCTGAACATCCAGTCTTTTTTTCAAGACATTTTTATTGTTGGTCAATGTTCTTAGTTTCGTTCGAGTTCTTCTCGCCATAAACTACAAATTAGTGAGCATTTTATCGTACATTAATATTGGCGATTGGCTTAATTAATTAAATACATATTTATTTTCAAACCTTGGAGTTTTCGTAAAAATGCATTTGTTTGTTTTTTTCATTTTCACATTTTTCCAGTGTTTCTTTTAACTCGTTCTTTTTAAATTCTTTATTTTTTAACGTTTCCGCGCAAACCAACAATTTCCTTTCCAGTATCTTTAATTCGTTTCGGACCGCTTTCTCCTGAAAAAATATTTCCAAACTATTTATTAATAAGTTTTAAATCTTTCGTACGATTTATAAAAATAATAATTTCTCTCGGTAAAGGCCGCTTAAAAGATAAAAGTTATTTAGATTTTCCATAGAATTGAATTCTTTTTTTAAAATTTACAAAGTCTCGAGTTTTTCAATTACCACGGGGGATTACTAGTCATAGGATACGTTCTTACGGATAAAAGTCAGGCTCGAAATAATTGTTAAATAGCATTAGAAACTGTAACGAGTGGAACTCCCGTTATTTAAGAAACCACGGGGATCCGATCGGCACGAAAGTTAGGGCAATGCGTATCAGACCCCTCTTCGATATTATACACCGCCTATTATACAATACTAGCGGACGACCCCGGCGTTGCTCGGGCAGAAAGTAACCATAGCGAATATTAAGATTATTACATTACAGCCCGTCTTACCGTTTTCACCGGGTGCGAAAATTAAATCGCCCTCTTCCGAGACTAATTTTAAAATTTTAGATGGGCCTGAAAATACGTTCGATTTCCCGTAAAGATGCAAAAAACCGCGTCTAAAATAGTACGTAGAAGCCGAGTACGTAGAAGCCGGTCGGAAAATCCCGAAAGTACATTATTAAATGACGATTTCGACGCAAACTAGGCCATAAACTCGGTTTGGCCTATTTGCAACGAATTTCTCCCTCGAAAATACAAGCGGATTTCGAGACGAAAGAAGACGAATGAAATCTGTATCGAAAACTATTCGTTCGTCGCCAGGATTCTTGGCCGCGACGAGAGATTACGCTCGTACGGGGCTAGGAATTATCCGAAAATTATAGTAGTATTTAATTAATGTGTAATAATAAAGCTATATTAAACCACAAACCGCTTTAAATAGAAAGTATCGGTAAACGATACAACAGAAATCATACCGGGCTATAATTTGACTAATTAATTATTAAAATATTGTAAACAATTTGGGGGCGCTGTCGAGTCGGTCTATTATGTTATTCGGCGTCATTAGTTCTATCTTTTTGGAAATGTTCCCGCGTACTCCTCCAGAAGCGTTAAAGCAAACGGAAGGGAACTAAACATCGTCGTCCACCGAGTCATCCGGGCGTAAAATATCCAAAGTTAGAACATTATTTTAAGAGGCACTCGGATAAAGAATTGGCAATATTTGGAGACGACTTTAAATGCGGCGTATCGCCAATCTGCAAATGGCCAACCGGTCGACCTCGTCCTCGATAAGGAAACTGGAAAGTATGTTCGCGACTAGATAAAGGAACATCGGTTACCTTTGGACGACATTGGCGAGTTACACTCCTTTGCCTACGATAGACAAGGTAATGCTTCGAACGGAAGCAATTTAACGTTGCCGTTAAATTTCAGATACGTGTACCCTCGTGGCGGCACTTCCCGTTTCGCGAGTAGCCTCGTTCCCGACGCTGGCTGTTTGGAGCCGAGCGTTGTCACGTGACGACGCGCGCGCGCAAACGAAAGACGGCGGCGGCTAAGCCGCCGCGAAAAAGGGGGGAAGAGATCGGAAAAATCACTCTAAACGAATTATTAAAAAAAAAACGCATTTCTATTCGTCGTTGTCGTCGTCGTCGTCGTCAGTCATTCGGCCAAACACGAAGACTTCGACGAACCGTCTATGCCAGGGGTGGCCAACCTGCGGCTCGCGAGCCACACGCTGCTCTTTGAAGGATTATTTGTGGCTCTCGATAGATGTACCCGAGTTCCCTTTTCATTTTTGTGTCATTATATTTTAAAAAATTATTATCGTTCCGTATGTGTTTCAAAATGTCTTTTAAATTACTAACAACAAATATGAAAGACTAAGTGCAACGTTGTAACAAATTTCATTTCCGTCCAAGTTAAGAATGATACGACTCATCGAAAACTGCGCCAACGAACATAAACAGTGGAGTAATCGTCCGTTATCGACCGACTCCAGACAGATTTTGAATTTGTAAACTGTCATTACAACGGACAGTTGACATTGTGCACTGGAGGAAACAATTTGTATCACTCTTGCTACGGATATAATTTGTAATCTGGAATTTTTTGCATACCTTTTTAATACGTATTTAATTGCGGCTGGCGAAAAATTTCAAATTTTGAAAAATGGCTCGGACTATCGAGGAGCTTGGCCACCCTGGGTCTATGCAAATGAGGTGCCAGACGAAAGCGAATATCGTTCCCCACGATACCTTACCAAATTTACCCTCGAAAGTACCTTCGAATGCCGAAGTATTAATTAACGCTGCACTCGCGACTTCGGAAATAAATCGAACTAGTGTCTTCTTATTTTACGAACGCCGTCGCGCTTGCCACACTTGGCTTCTACCGGTTGCCTACCCATCTTAATCGCGAATTTTATATCGGAAGGTATCCTAACATCGATACTTAACGACGTTAAATTGTCGAAATCCATTTTTGCGAAAGTCGAACAACGCGACACGCAAACCAACCCCTCGAATTCAAAGCGACAACAGCCGGCGTCGGGAGTGAGGCTAGTCGCAAAACGGGAAGTCCCGCCGTGACGGTATACGTATCTAAAATTTAACCAATGTTGTTTAATCGTAGTATTCACTTCTATTGTTTTGGGATACAGGCAGCAAACTTTCATAAGTTCAGCAAGTCTTACAAAAAAACTTGGAAATGTGAAGATTGCAAATTAGTGAAAATTGTTAAGAACAACGTAAATTGGACACAGGAACTGGAAGACGACAGAGAACTGGGTGAGTGTGAACAGATTATTATGACTTCACATAATTATAGTAAAAACGTGGATAGAACACCAGATAATCTAACTTTCACTCCAACGTCACCCTTAAGTATAACTACCAAAAATTCTGAAGTAATTTTACAAGAAGTCAAAGTTATACACTTAGAGTTGAGTAACATAAAAGAAACAAACAAAGAAATCCAGAAATCGTTAGAATTCTTAGCAAACAAGTTTGACAAAATGGAAGAGAGAATTAATATTTTAGAGAGAAACTATGTAACTGTTATCGAAACAATGACAGAACTAAAGGAAGAGAATAAAAGTACAAAGACAGAATTAAATTCTTTAAAAGAAAAATTCTGCATGTTGGAGCAGGATTTAAACAACTCTAGTTTGGAGATTGTTGGCGTGCCGACACTTCAGAATGAGAACTTAACAGAAATAGCATATAAAATTTTTTCGTTTATTGATGATAATTTTAATCAATCAGGTCTATTGAATGTCTATAGAATTAAATCCACTAATAACGAAAGAAAAGAATTCAAAACTAAATCGCAACCAATTATAGTGAAATGTGCCAATTCAGTTGTCAAACAAAAAATATTTAAAAGAAGAAGATAAAAATAACTACAAATGCGTGCCATATTATAAATGAGGAATATAGAATATATATAAATGAACATCTTACTCCATATTATAGAAATATTTTCTATAAAACCAGAATGTTAAAAAAACAAGGAAAAATATTAAACACTTGGACAAATAACGGAAATGTGTATTTAAAAAAGGATACTTCTTCTCCAACAATTCGGATACCAACATTGGACAGTTTAGAGAAAATTTTTCGGAATGATTGAATTATTAACACATACAAAGATAGATGACTTCTCCAAAAAGGGCATATTCGTTTTTTATTGCAACGTAAGAGGCTTAAATAATAAATATTTAGAAATACTTAAAACAACCGAGGAATATAACTGCAACTTTGATGTATTAGCTTTTTGCGAAACTTGGACAAATGATGTAAATCCTCCACCATATATAAAAGACTATCGGCTAGAAAAAATAGAAAGAAAACCTAATCAGCATGGAGGAATTGTAATCGGAATCGTTGCTTTTTTCGAATTATTGTGGAGTGTTTCCGTAGCCCTTGTTGAAACCTGGATGGTTTCGGTGGATGGAGATTTTCTTGCTAACTTTCTTACAGTAAACTGGAGGTATTTTATGATTCCGGCGGAAAAGCCATTGGGGCCGGGTAGACCCCGTGGTGGTATTTTGTTCGTTTTTTGATGAAGTTAAAGGGCATTTCGAGTTATTGGAAATTTATCCCGATTTGATGGTGATTGGCTTATCGCTTTACTCGGTCCTCGAACCTAGAAATATCCTGGTGCCGGTGGTGTATGCTGGCTCGCGGAGACAGCGGGGCTTACGTTTAAACTCGTTTTCTTCTATTTTGAAGTCTTAGTCTTCGTACTACCGTGGAATCGTGATAATGGACGATTTTAACGTCCGTATTGGTGAAGGAATTGATTCGCATTTGAACGTAGCCACTCCCAACATTTTTGATGTCAGACGGTTGAAGGATTTAAAGGCCGACACGGCCGGGAGACAGTTTCCGCGTTGGTTGATTGAACGCGATTTTATTCTCCTTAATGGTCGTACTAAGGGAGATTTCCCAGGTGAGCTAACTTTTTTGTCAAGAGTGGTAGCTCGGTTATAGACTTTATTGTCGTTTCTCAGAATCTGGTTCGTAAGGTTTAATCCCTTCGTGTTGGGTCTCTCTCATCTTCCAGTGGAATTACAGTTGTCGACCGGAAACAGATTTCCTTTGTTGATGGGCTTTGTCTCACCAAGATTCGTTATGTTTGGAATGATTCTAAAGTTCAATTACTTGGTGACGCAGTATCGCAGTTTCGGAATATAAACTTTGATTCTGTGTCCGTTGATGATTTCTATGGTATTATTTTATTCGAACTATGCTCTATAGCGAGAAGACTAAATGTGTTAATTGAAGGTGTTGAACCTTACAGGAGGATTCGCCCCCCTTGGTTTGATAGGTCATGTTACATTCAGAAGCGAGCGAAGAACATTGCCTTGGGCAAATTCCGCAGATCTAATAGTAGGGGCTGATTTGGCTTCCTTTTTAAATTTAAAACGACAATATAATTCACTTATTAGGGCCAAAAAGAAGAAATATTTTTGTAATTATGCTTTACAGTTGGCTGGGATTAGAGACTAAGACCTTTTGGTATCGGGTAGGTCGTTTCGCCGGGTCAGGCGCATACTACACCAAGAGATTTCCTTGACCGATCGGTTTATTTATTATCAACAGTTATTTAGTTTAAATACATCGAATTTACCCCCCGATTCTGTCACTACCGATGGCTTCTTTTGTTGTTGTTCCTATTTTAGATCTTCCAATCTCTGATGCAGAGGTGAATACAGCGCTTCAAAAGATGCGAATTCGTTCTGCTCCCGGGGTGGATAATGTTTCACCGTCTTTAATTGTTTACTCAAGGGACACTTTGGTTCCTTACTTGGCCAAGTTATTTAATCGGGTTTATGACACTGCTAGAATTCCGAAATCGTGGTTAGAGGTAAAGATAAAAGTTATCCATAAAAAAGGTCCGCTAGACGAGCCCGCTAACTTTCGACCAATATCGCTGTTGTCTGTAGTTCGAAAGATATTTACCTCTATTTTGACAAATAGATTGGGTATTTGGCTAAGAGAGAGAAATTTGATTCGAGCTGTGCAATTTGCTTTCCAACCTCGTAAGAGCGCTTCAAGTAATATTCTGATTCTCCGCTCCATTATTTGTAGACAACTATCAAAGAAAAGACAACGTTTACTTGCCTACGAGAAAGCCTTTGACAGTGTTGTTTTGAAGATTTTGTTATTTAAATTAAAAATGCTTGGAATCTCTGACAAGTTTATTGACATTATTCAATGCTTATTTTCAGAATTTGAACGCAAGGATTTCCACTAGTGCCGGGTCTACAGATGCCTTTACATTAGAAAAGGGTTTACCACAGGGTGATTCCTTAAGTCCGATATTGTTTATTTGTTATGTTAATGACACGGTACAAGTTTTTGACGATTTAAGTAAATATTCCATTTCTCTGGGAGACTACGAAGTCCTTTTACTTCAATTTGCTGACGATACAGTGGCGTTATCCACCACCCCGATCGATCTACAAAGGAAATTGGACACGTTATATAATTATTCGTCTAATTTGGGTTTGAGTATTAATTTATCCAAGTCGAAAATAATAATTTATAGACACGGTGGAAGGTTGAGAAAAGCCGATAAGTTTTTCTTAAATGGTAAAGGAATCAGTGTTGTTAATGAAGTTATATATTTAGGGATTCGTCTCTCGGCTACTGGCTCGTTCCCAAACTACATTTCTTACGTTAAAGGCATTTTCCAAAATAAATGTTATAATAGAAATCTCGAGAAGGGTTAAAAACAGTCATATGGCTTTGCCGCCTCTCTTTTTACTTCGAGTTGGTCTTACGGTCTGCTCTTTTGGGGCCTTTTTGTTTTGAGGGTATCGACTCCGTAGAACCGATGTTCTTTCGTCGTCTTTTTGGTCTCGAAAGGTCGATCCCATCGTACGCAATTAGATCCGAATTGGGCCTCGAGTTTCCCCGGAAACGCTTTGTTAAATTAATCTTAAATTTTCTGAGAAACGCAGTCTCTGACCCATCATCCTCGGAATACGAGGCTTATTTTATACGATGACTCGTATCCTCGGAATACGAGGCTTATTTTACTTGGAAGAAGTTTTTATCGAAAAGTTCTGTTGGTTAACTAAACTGGAGAATCTATTTAATAGAATAGGTATCTCACTCTCCTCGATAGATTCCTCTCCAGATGTTTTGAAATATTACGCAGATACAATTTTACAAGAGTTTGATAATCTTTTCTCCAGAGAAGAAGAGGACAGGATTCTTAAGGCTAAGTACCACTTACTGTACCCAGAAATATTAGACAACAACCGGTGCTTTTACATTTATTATCAGCAGCTACCGTTTATTGTTAAGAAACGATATTACAGATTCGTCTAAATAAGTATCGTTTAACGCGGAAACACTTGGTTCACCGGAAATGTGTCCGTTTTATAAGAAAGGATGCGCGACTTTAAATCACTACACGTTTGACTGTGAGAATTTTGAATACTCGAGTCTATCGACACTTCCTAATAATGTTGTTTGCAAAATTCCAGCAGATAGAATCGGTGGATTATTCTCCATCGACGACTCAGTCGAGTCTATACGGCGTAAATATAATGTATTGACCAAAGTTATTAATGCTATATTAAATTGAATAAAGTTATTAATGTTAAGGTAGAATTTCTAAATTTTACCTTATTGCCGAACAAGGTGATATAATCATTCAACCTATTTTAGAAAACTTTGATGTATTTCCAAGTTTTTAAGATTTATTCTTGTTATAATGATCCAGTTGGGCTTTGTATTACGGAAGATCCCTCCTCCTAAAAGTTCATTTTATGTACGGAGTTTTCAAATAAATAAATAATATAGTAAACAATTTGTATAGAGATAGGTTGTAGCGCCGTAAAGAAATTTAATTTGGAATATTCTGGAGGAAAAGATCGAGCCGATGTTGAATTTATTTTTAACCATCAAACGGCGTTAATCGCCCGGTATCGGTTGTACCGTACTTTTGATCTAGACGACGTAATTTTTCTACTTAACGCTATTTAATAAAATCGAGCTTACCTCGTTAATTAAAGTTATATATTCGTTATTAAAGGAATTTTTAATTTTTTCCGAATTTATTACGGACGAAGTAAATTTTCGCTTTTCCGCTTTAATTTGTTTTAATCTATTTTCTAACGCATCTTCTTTCTGCCGATTTATTTTAACCAACGTTAATACTCTTTTCTTGGCCGATTTTGCATTTTGTACGTCCTGAAAATATTAAGTTTTAAGCAAAATCCAGGTAAAAGTTAAGAGTTTTCTGCAAAAAATACTCACGTCGTCCGTAGCCATTTGCTGTCTGTTAAGAGAATAAATGCTATTCTGATATTCCCCGTATCTTTTCTTATAATTCGAAATATCTGTCAAATTTCGTTAAAATTCTGTAAAATATTACACGGAGAATACATTTGATTGTTAAAGATTTACCCTTGCGTAAACTAGCGATTGTATTTTTCTTCTTTTCTTGTATTTTCTCGACGGCATCTTTCGACTTTTCTAATTTTACCAACTCTCTTTCTAAGACGACGATGCTTTTCGTTCGCTTATCGATTTGTTCTTTCCATCGTAACAGGTCGTAATCCTTTGCCTTAATTTTAAAAAATCTAACGTAACTACTAATTCCGGTTTATAAATCAATGTTACGGCGCTATAAATAATATATCGGTGGTAAAAGCCACGTTCGGTCATTCAGAAAAAAGAACTTAATTAACTGGACAACAATTACAATTCCGTCTACTCGCCACCTTTGTCGCAAACTTTCGATCCCGCCGTCGTAAAATGACCGAGGTTTTTCTTCGTCGAAATCGCTTCTCTAAGATTATCTTCGCTCCGCGTGCCGGCCAGTCGTTAATCCGACTCGGTCAATTTTTGGACCAGCTGGGAGCGACGCCGAGCAAATACGCATCGATCGCCAAATCTTTGAAAATTCCTTCGCCCATTAATAATAAAATAACGACGCCATTATTTCCCTTACGATAGCATTGGCTGGGATTTAGAATAAGAACATATCGGCGCCATGCGATCGTCCTTTAATGTGCACGCCAAGAAATAAGCTACGGGACAAAGGGCTTTATCGCACGCTTTGTAAATGAGATGGCCAGCGTTGGTGGCGTCGCGGCCAGCCAATATATTCGTTCGAAAGTTCCGTATTGTCAAACATCCCCAATCGATCCGTTTCTAACGAAATACGCGATGAAACGCCCGTTGGTTACTCTAATTACGCACCCGCTTCGAACGTTCTAAAGTATTTTATCGCGGTCGTTTGTACAAAAATTCGAAATGTCGAAATTACGTCTACGCGGCCCGATATAAAAGGCGTTTCGTTGTAAGACGAAAGTCAAAAATTTAAAAATTACATTTTTAAAATAAATAAAAAGTTAAGCGTCGTCCGACATTTCGATCTGGTTGCCCGTATCCGCTTACGCCTCGGCTGCCAGGTTACTAGGCCATTGTAATGGCCGACGACGGAGCTTCGCTATAACGCGCGCATTTTTAAACGATTTGATTATGACTCTTAGCTCTACAATTTATTATAGTTTTTACAGAGATAGTTTCATAAATGATTGAGTATGTAACTTTTATCTATAAAATGAAACAAATACTACAAAACTTAACTAGAATTCTTCGGTATAATTTCCATTTTTTTTGCTTTCTTCCGATATATTAATATATATGTTTTTGTTTTTCTCTTTGTCTTCCCCGAAGACACTAAGAGGGCTTTTTCTAATAGTGTGTTTAGTAATAGTCGGATGGCCGAGTGGTTTAAGGCCGTAGTTTTCGACTGGACTGCCCCAACGACACTTTGAAGGCAGCGAAATACTGTGCCGATCACCTCCATAATACTTCTTGAAATTAAATGTATTAGTATGAGTAAAAGTATGAAAAACTCAATAATTACAATGTTGAAAAGTACGAGCACCGCAAGAAAAGCTTACCAAATTAAATAATGGCCTTTATCGCCTTCCGGTCGACTCCGAATTGCTTAGCTAGCTCTTTGATGCGCTTTAATTCTTTGATCCGTCTTGTACTCTGTTGCTGTGTGTGTACGCTTTCTTCACAGAGCTTGCTAAGCAATCCGGAGCCAACCGGAAGGCGATAAAGGCCATAAGAAGAATAGAAGATGAACGAAAAAGAATAGAAGAATACACAGTGATGGAATACAGCAACAAACAAAAAGATAATTTTTAAAAGGAATCCAAAAATATAACGGATACTACGTACGGATAAGGAAGACATAGACCAGAGCCTTATTGCGGAAATTTATAGAATACCCGTACAAAACGAAAGGCGACAAAAAGAGCTTTACTACATCGGAGCCACAGGGAGGTCATTAAAAGAAAGGTTAAAATAACATTACAGAACGGGAAGCCAATCACCACTCTAGCGACGTACTGTACGTTATAGCAGACCCGACAGAGGTAATAGTGGATTGGGAAAGAGCTAAAGTAATACAAAAGACTCGGGACAAGAGACACCTTAAATACGGGGAAGCATGGCAAATACACAAGATTAACCAGAAAGGACAAGCAATAAACTTTAGTAGAGAATAGTCTCTGCGGCATGGAGAGCGGACATAATCCGAATACTTTAGTACGAAAAGGGACGAACGGTTAAAGAACTAAACACAATTGTGCTACTATTTTTATTTACTTATTTTATTTTTATTTAATCATTTATTCTTATATTATATGTAAATTTGTACAAGTAACCCGTACGTATTGTATTTTTATTTCCTGGCGTGCGTATGAAAATTCAAACGTTCAAAATTCATCCCGAGGAAGGTGATTCAAATGGCCGAAAACGTTGGAAAAGTTAATAAAAAGCTGCATTTTAAAGATTTTTTGTCACGGTTTGATTATTAATTAACTTCAGTTTGAGAAGAGTGTAAAGCTAAGAGTCATTTAAATCCAGCAACAGTTTATTGATATTAAAAGGAAATGTTAGCGGCAATTTTTAAATAGCCATCTTCAGTAAGTTTTAGAATATAGCGAATCTGATGCCATCACAGATGCTCTCCACGCCGGTCGTTAAATCACCAGGAATTTTTCGGGGGTAGTCCGTCCGGATTGTCGAGCCCCGTCCCTCCCCACCCGGCCGTCCTATTGCCAGCCTGGCCGAACCCATAATGGGCACGCTAAAAGATGCCCTCTTAGTGCATACAGGGCGCAGAGAGTTAAAAAAAAGATGCTCTCCAGGAATTTTTCGGGATGGTTTGTCCCGGATACGTTTGTTTGTATGCGGTAACACGACACGTGGGCGATGTGCGCAGGAAAGATGCCTATTTAGGTGTTACGAACTCAAAGAAAATCCGAAAACTTTACGTGGCGAGGCTCGAACCCAAACCAACTGCGACGTTATCCAGTCAACTATTAGTGGGCTTTCGACGATAAAGACTCTCTTAGCGGCCACAAATATGAAAAATCCCGTTAAAGATGACTAAATACGCTCGTTTTTAACAAATTGTTGATTGATTTTAATTAATGAAATTTTCTTATTAAAAAGAAACTGCGTACTTGTAAATGAATGTAAAAATATTACCTTCGGAAAAGTAAATAAATAAAAATATTATCAACCTTAAATTCATTGTGTTTCCTGGCGACATTGTCTTGTAAATTTTCCGTGTTTTCCATTTGTGTTCGTTTCTCTTCTTTACATTTAGCTAGAGATTTTTCTAACGCATCGTTAGTCTTTAGAGATATTTCGTTTAATTTCTAAAACGAAAAAGAAAATAAAATTAATTATGTATCGAATTTATTTTTTAAATGAATTTTGAAATGTTTATATTACTTTTTCTTCTTTTAAGGCACTCGCTACGGAATATAAAGAACATTTCGTATTATTTAATTTGTCCGTAACCAGCTGCAGTTTATTGTTTTGTTCCTTTAATTCCTCTTTCTGTTCTTCAACTTTCGTATTCAAAATGTCATTTTTGCTTCGCTGTTCGATGATTATTTCGGATTTATTGTGTAAAATCATCTGTATCTGGAAATATATTAATTTATTATATTATTTGCCGATTACGTGTACATTTTAAGGATTCTCGACCAATTCTTATTTTTGCAGTTTATCGACCAGTGTCCAGCTTATCGAATAAAGTACTGTACAGTACATAGGTAAACAAACACGTAAACAATTAACTTCCGTATTTAAGATGTTTGTTACGTAATTGTGTATTTTTGCGTCTTACTCGCAGAGGACCAATTAAGTATTAGTTCCTCTCCCGAGTTAACTCGGGCAAGTTACATAGCGTTACATAAAACTCGGGCCTTTGGGCCCCGAAAAAGTTTTTTGGATTTTTGGATGTTTTTTGTCTCCAAATTTTTTCAAAAATTTTTACCCGCGCGAAAAAATTTTATCGCGATTTTAATCAACCTTTAATGACGCGCGATTAACGCTTAATTGTTTTTAATGCGATTTTTTTATCAAATTTAGTTCATCGTTCTAAACTTGTAGCGCACGGATTTTACTTCGGTAAAGTTATTTAAAGCTGGTTTCTTATGTCAAAAACCACCTCCGATAGTTTTTGAATTTTTTTAATTAATAGATTTTATTATATATAAATTTAATTAAGTCGAGGGGGTCGGAAATCGCAATAAAAATTTTAATTTTTGAAAAATATTTAAAAATATACGGCCAGCTAGTATTCACCCTACTTTAAACCCTTTTCCTCCCGAGACGTCTACGAACGTCCAGCTGTTCTCGAGGTCATCCAGCTGTAAACGCAATGACTGGTCGGTGTCAGATTTCGCGGAAAGGCGAGACGATGGAAAATTAAGTTTGAAGCTTTTTCTTCAAAATTAACGCATTTCTTTCGTTTTTTTCAGTTTTAAGTATTTTTTATGTTTAATTACATTAATATCAAAAATAGCTGGGAACTAAAGCGATTAAGGCCGATGTGTGTCCGATTGAAAAAATTAGCGCAATAACAAATATCGTCAATAAGAATGGCTTTAATTGGTTCCACTAATCGTCTCTTTTAATCTCGACAATGGGTAAAAATGCTGGTCTAATTTTTGATGATATTATACTACTCGGGGTGTACGGGTCAGGATTCCATTTCTGTACGAGTACGGTAATTGGACATTTTGAGATTGTTTTCATTAATCCGCCATTTTCTGTTGACGAAGATTTTTCATTTCTACCTACCGTAGCTTATTTATATATTATTATTTTTTCACTACTTTCTAAATTCGTAATATATATGTAATAAATAAATAAATAAAATTAATTTTTCAGCTAAAATATGATTGCCCGAAGCTTTCTTCTTAGCAGTAGGGTACAAAATGGTGAATCGCTTTCTCTATGTTCTTACTCTATACTATGTTGTAAGTCATATTATATTTTTGGTGTTTTTTGGCTGGAAATTACAAAGAATAATCGTGACTCGGAGTACGTGACGATTTCGTACAAATTTTCCAAAATAATTACATCTACTCTTATAATGTTTTATTTTAGAAAAATATTGAAGAACAAATAAAGAACAATTAAAATGAATATAGAGATTTTTAAAAAGCAAATTTCCTTCCAACTTCTGCTTTTCAGTATAGACGATTAGCTTAGGCCTATATTGTAAATTATGGTTTATCTCGAAAACAAAATTACCATGTTAAATATTACATTTACACCAATGAAATTTTATTTTATTTTATTTTATTCATTTACTGAAAATTTACTATTAATATATAAGTCACGATATAAGATAATTATTCAGAACCCCTTAAATGGCTTGCTTGCGGAATAGGGACTGCAACAGATATATGGAAGATGTGCGAGGGAATGGTTGTCTCCCGAGAGAATTCTCTATGGGAAACCACAGTATTTAGATATTAAACTGGTGGATAACGGAAAACTACGCGACCGAGACCAGTTTTCAGTGGTCGAAGGAAAAACGGATCGTATTTAAGTTCGTTGTCTATTTTCGACCGATTTGCTAATACATTTTTAAAAACGTTTTACAACTCACTCGATCTAGTTTAATTTCCAAATGTTCTCTCTTCTTTTCTAACTCTTCGATTAAATTTTTCTTACTTTCTACTTCTTCGTTTAAGATTGTTTCGCTATTCTGTAATCTCTCGTAAGTCTGTAAGAGTTTGTCCTTTTTATTTACTTCTCTCTTTAATCTAAAAAATGAATAATTCATTTTCTTTCGCTTTAAGCCTAAAACTTTAGACATTTTATCTAGAAATTCTTACTGCTTCGACGCTTCCGCCGCAATATCGCGAGCTTCTTTCAGATCGGATCCTCTCTTCCTAAGATATGGTCTTGTGGATAAAAATAATTTTCTTTCTTCCTCTTCATTCTTCTTCTCTGATATCTTTAATTGCTAAATTAAATAATTATTTAATTTAGTTTTTCTATAATTTCATATAAAGAAAAATATAAATTTATTAAGTTCTTTTTTGTGTCAGTAGGAAACAAAATGGCGGATTGTTCGGCCTATCTCTCTCTACAAAACATACGTTCTATTACGGTTTATGGCATTGTATGTTATAATTATAATGGCTTTATATGTCATATCGAGATGTTTGTTATTCGAAATTATTAAGCGGAACATAAAGGCTAGAAATTTAAGTTTTTAATTTAGACGTATCTAAAGTACGTAGTGAAGTTAAAGTATACATATATTAACTCAACGTATACCCGACAAATACTGTTGATGCTACATTACGGTACACAGGTTTCTGACATTTTTTGATATAAAATATATCAATCCACTCACCCGATTCATATAAAGCTAAATATTTATAATAATGATGCGCCGTGGAAATCGGAGGCTCTAAGTGCTACGATGTTTTGTAATCCTAGCAAATCGTGCTTGTATGTGTGTGGGGATCGTGAGTAAATGGGTTTGGGTCGGTCGATGGAATAAGATAATGCAACCGTACGGGCGATCTGCTAAGGTGGAGATGCCTGTAGGGAGGACTTTCTTGGCGAAATTGTCTCTATTTAGGTGGTAGACGCGTGAAGAAAACACCAAGTCGACGTGTCGAATCCGTTGATCGAACTGGCGGCCAGTGTTAACCGCTCGGCATTTGAATAAAGTTCTACGAAGTCTCTCGAGCCATAGTATAAAAATAAAAATGTTATCTTTGGCCGAATTTTCGAAACGATTAAGACGTCAACCTGTCACTTTAGGGAATTTTTCACCAGCTGTATGTTTCGGATAAGTCCCATTGTGGACCTGGCAAAACCCGCAGTAATTGCGATTAAAAGGTTCTCTTAGTGTCAGAAGGGCGGAAAGAGACAAAATATGAAAAAGTCAATGATTCGCGAAAAGAATTAAGCAGCGATCTTTACCTGTTCTAATGTTTTCAACTTTTCAACAAGAAACGAATCTTCTTTCATCTCGTGTAATTTATTTTCTATTTGTTTCAAAGTATCCTTCAGTTTACATCCTTCGTATGTTAATTTGGTAGAAATTTCTTTAATTTCTGAAATATTTTCCTCTATTTCACTAATGCGAAGGCTCATTTTTAAAATATTCTTTAAATCGATTTTCGTGTCCCTTAAAATCTATCCTATCGAAAATTAAAATGATATAACTTTTGTTAAGGATAAGGAAAAATTGGAATTCCAATCAGTTTATTCTTATATGTTTTAAATTAAAAATGATTCTAACGATAAAACATTTAATTCTAAAGTTATTCGAAATGCCTGTATATATTTTTAAAATGTACTCGAAAATAATGAAGAGATCTTTTTACTTCAAAGAAATATTCTTCGTTTAATTTAAAACATTTTTTACAATTTTTAACACAATAGCTTCGAGGCTATTCGTAACAATTTAATGGGGATACGTGTCAATGACCTAGGATTTCGTATGTCATACGCGTATTGGAGACCCGAAGTATAGGATTTTATACGAGTTCTTTATGATATCTTCCATTGTGCAGTAAAACTTCGAAAGTTGGACGCTTTCCTTGCACCAGACGAAAGTATAAGCATTATAATGTATTCTTACCTCCTTAATGTGGACACCTTCGTGCCACTGTCATATCTTTGCGCTTTTCTATGTTAGATACTTCTTGGCTACTCCAGATTGGATACTAAATGACACCCAGTGACGGAGTAAAGCCCGCTTACTTGACGAATAGATGGCGCGATTGTTATTGTAAAAGGAGGAGATTTCGAGGAAAACAACGACTCTACCTTTAATTCCAATTAGCTTAATCTCTTTCTTATCCGCAACATATTGCATTCTCCGATCGAGAATAAGATCGCGACGTCCGTGTAATTGTTCGAGTGTGATACGTGTAGTTAGTTGAGAGCTAGGCCGCACCGAAAGGCATAGCCTGAGAAGGAAAGGAAGGAAGGGATATGGAAGAGAGTGGGATAGAGGGAAGGATGAAGATGACACGTGCGCCATTGCCGGGTTCCGATTGCTAGACATAAAGACAATACGTACAAAGGGTTCCGTGCACGGGAGAAGCGCAATAAATGGTGAAAGAGTGTACAGTACATAAGATTGCGCGTTAAATTTTACACGGAAGATAACGAACCACACGGCGTCGTCTTACACAGCTAAATGGGAAAAGGAAGGGAGGACAGTAGGGTCTCCTACACAACGACAATATTAACAGAGTCGAGAGAGTCCATATTGGTAGAGTCGGTAGACCCGCTGGAGATGAGTCTTGCCACAAAGTTTTCAAAGGCTTTGTAGTAGAGATTATTAGTGATGAGGAGGCTCGGGCTACAAGGCCAAGTGTCGTTATTTTTTAGGATGGTGGATGCGAGTTCTAGCCTTTCCTCTTCCGTGCGCTCACAGCGGTAGAGATGCTAAGGGGTCTCATCTTCCACTGGGCAGCTGCTACGTTTTCCGTCACTTTTCTTTAAAAATCTGGCAAGGTAGTAGTTTAAATTCCCGTGTCCGGTCACGAAATTGTGTCACGTTGAAGTGAGTCGGATTCGGCCCGTTCACCTGGGGAATGAGCTTGCGCGTCCACCTCCCTGTGTCAGAAGCATTCCACTCACTTTGCCATTTGCTATTAACATAAACTTTCGGGGCACTGGAAACCCATAACACAGGGACAGGGGAGAAGGAGACGTCAATAAGCCTCTTGGGGATAATTGATACATATAGAAAGTTGCGTGACAGAAGGTATGCAGGCTATCGCAGTACAAGTTTTTTGAGAATACTCTCCGAATTATCACTAGATCAGTAATGATTCAGAGAGTATTCTAAAAAAATGTTATTGCAAAAACATGTAGAAATGATGCATCGGGTGATATGGAACCGGGAGTAGTGAAACAGGAAGCCGCAAATTATGTCTGCCCTCGTACATTTTACAGAGCTTGAACGTTGCGCATTTGCACATTATCAACCTGTTGTTGTAAAGTGTTTGAAATTAGGGGAGAAATACAAAAGGAACTGAGAAAGTCCAAACTGATACATCTTCGTCAATACCATATAAGATAATTTTTTGGCAAAAAATAAAAAATAAAGAAAATCTTTATCTTTAAGTATGTTTCCATTTATCACAGAATCGAAACACGTTGCTTTTCCAGATGTTAATATTAATTTAAGTAGCGTGTAATGTAGTCAATTGCAGCGTATTAGTATGATTTTATGGAACGTCATATTGGCATAATTAATATTATGTATGTGTAGACGAGACATTACAACTCATACCTTAAAACTGGTTTAATGATACTTTACTGAACTGTGTAACACGTATAGTATTATATTAACATACATTTTTGGTCATTAAACATTGCGTTAACATTAAAAACTGATGCCTTTTTCATTTGTATTTAGCAAAAGATAGGCGCAGTAAATGTGGTACGCGTGTAGGTGTGTACTGTACAGTACTGTACATGTCTACAGAGACTGCATTCACCTCTCTAATCCGAACGCCCCGCTAACTCGGACACTTTAGATCTTCACCACAGAAGTCTAACTTAGTGAGGTCTTTCACCGTGGTTTCTACCACGGGAGTATAATGGAGATATGTGTCGATGGCTCGTGACCTTAAGTAAGCCCATAGTGATAGCCTATAACAGGGGTGTCAAATTGGCCCCCGATCAATGTTCCCTCTAAGCTGCGCGGCTGCGCGGCCGCGCACTGCTCAAATTGTTGCCGCGCACGAGAATTTATGTGCCGCGCAGGCGAGCATGCACACTAGGGTTTCTCAAACGGGATCCCGGGATCCCGGTTGTTTCTTTAACCCGGGAAATTTTTCTTATCCCGGGAAATCCCGCAAATTTCTTAAAAATTCACTTTTTTTCTTATTTTGTGTTAAGGTTGAGGAATTTTGCAAATAGAAAGCATAATTAACTCATTCACTGTCAGAATACATTTGTATTTATTAATTTTAAACCTACCTATTAGTTTTTTTTAAATTTTTGCTCGTTATAGCATGTCACAAATGGTCAATAATCAATATATAGCTTATTTGTGGCAGGACTATAAAAATTCTTTACTTGTCGGAACCTGTAATATCTGGAATAATTGTGCTTACGCTGTCTTGAGTTTTAACCATGCCCAGTAGCTTCAATAAATGCCTGACGCCAGATTGTGCAAATTGGGCAAGGATACAAACGAGTACAAAGTCTGCAAGTATGAAGTTTTTCTTCATAAACCTGATTATTAAAGCCAAATGAATTGCCGAATTATCGAGCTCTAAGCTTGATGCCGCTATTAAAGCAGCCAAGGTAGACAAATCAAGAATACTAGAGAGCGAAAGAAGTACTACAATCTCGAAAACGAACTCGAAATCTTCCAGGCTACAGGTGAAAAAACACATAATATCTGTCTTCTCTTAAATGCATTAAACACTATTCCAATCACATCAATTGAATCGGAAAGGGCATTCTCGGTGGCAAGACTTTTCATTACTAAAATAAGAATTAGAGTGAGTTATCGGAGTATTGACCATCTTTGCTTTTTAAAATCTTATAAAAGTTTGCAATATTTTGTATTATATTTTATTTAAAAAACGAAAATTACCTTCTAAATTAGAAGTTCATTTTTTTTAATTTTTAACTCAATTCAAAACATTTTTTTTTTTTGTTGTTGTATGCAGTTTCCAGCAAACTTTAATTAATTTTTTTCTATTTGTGAAAATTTCTACGTTATTTAAAGGTAATTTTTATTATAGGCCTATAGACCTTACACAGCGTTATTAATATGATTTTGGAGGTTACAGAACTTTAAAATTACTTTAAAAAATGGAAAATAATTATATCATTTGATTTCAAGATAGTTTGTGTACAGTACCTTAAAAATAATTAATTCTATCCCGGGAAACAGTTCACTTTTATCCCGGGATCCCGGGACAAGCAAAAGACCGGGAAATGAGAATGCATACCGATTTGAATTGTCGTTTACTTATTTCTCACTCTGTCTGCAACATGATTATTGCTGCGTATATTTCGATTAAATACATTAAATCATTGACAAAAGATAATATTNTGGCTATGTCTTGGCTACTTTAATATTATTTTTACGTGTTTTAGCTGGCAACACTCATTCGACCATGAAAGGGAACCAGTATTTAAACGAGGCTTAATTTTCTGATTTTTAACGATACAATAGCGACGATTATTATTTTAAAAAAAATTTCTTAGGCTTAACGTGGATGAAAATTCAACGCCAAGTAGGTTAATAGCGATATACTAATATACTAATTACATGGGATATAATAATATACTACACTAATAATGGATTTTTTTCATACTTTTCGGTTATCCGACCAACCCCAGTCCCCAATTGAGTCGGATAATCGAGGCTCTACTGTAGTTCGGAAACTGTCTCGACTAGTGATGTGCCGGATATCCGTATCCGTATCCGTTAATTTTTAGCGGATCTTTAACGGATCTTTTATCTTAATGAATTTCATTACTTATATGAAATTTTTAAGATAGGTAGCAATAGCACATTCGTCGTTTACTATCGTAAAATATTTCCATATTACACTACTAAATTTTTTTGTCGACATTGTTTTTATTTTAATTTAACTCGACACTCTCCAAAAACACAAACGTAATCTACGCTATCCCGTGTCACACTAGCCACAAACCAGTGTTTCCCAAGGTGGGGCCTACCCCCCACAGGGGGCAATTGGATTGCTAAAGGCTGGTATACACGGTAAGGAAATCCTTTGAGGATTAACCGTGATTTTTTTTTCTATCTATCCATTTTTAAATAAAAATAATTCTTTATACGTTGGGAGATATTTTAATAAGTTTTGTAAATTACTATGTTCGATCCAGCCAGTTATATCCGAGTTTTTTTCGTCTGTTAAGCACATCCTTTAAGGATTTCCTTACCGTGTATACCAGCCTTAAGGAGGACAATTCGAAAATGGACTTGTCCAGAGTTTAGGTTAACCGTATAGCCGCTGTATATGTTAGGGAGACATAAGAATTTTAGAAAGGCTTAGGTGGGGCATAGCGCAAAAAAGGTTGGGAAACACTGCACTAAACTCTATTGTGGCGGTACGCTATATTTTTGTAAATATTAATTTTAGTTTAGTTTCGTTTCTTCTTTCTACCCTTTGTTCTATCGTTGTATTTTCTTCTAGAACTTTCTTATCTATTCTCTGTCCCTCGGGTGGGATGAGCAGTTCCTAGAAATTTGAGGAGCAAAG